GATAACATAACTAAATAAATGAAGAAAAGAGATCTTCCATAACTCAAAATTATAAATAACACACCCAATCAATTTAATTTTGGATGGAGCTTTATATAACATGACATACTTTAATGTCTGCTTCAATAAATTAACTTTGGAAAAGTAATTAGACATATCTGGATCAAATTAGAAGTATAGTATTTTTCCAACTAACGCAAACTTTGGAATATATGAACAAACTCGTCGTTATAGCATAGATAATGGCAGATATTTATAATAATATTACGTTCTTCAGCAAATCGCAGAAAATTTAATCCAGAAAAGTAACGTCAGCAAAGCCATCTTACTTCCATGTTCAATAAAACAACATTTTCTGCAAATTGATATCATCGTACTATTTTCAAATCATGTTTTAAAACTGTTCAAACCTTCGCCCATTTCGATAGACATTTATAGACATTATAGAAAAGATTATTTATCAAATGCATCTAGTTAAGGTTTTCAAAGCAGTCCAAATGCGAAAACATGAAAATCAATTATACATCATAAAGCCCTCGTTCACACAACTATAGCAATTTGGACGATGCCAAAAGTGGTTGAATGTAGACTAAAACATTGGAACTAAAAATTCTTTCAAAAATCTGTTATCCAATATACGAAGTTTCTTGAAGACTAAGGCACAATTTTATGTATTATGAGCTGTATGGTGGATTCTAAAGAAAAATATCTGATTTACTATTGTTGACCCATGTAATCAAAATAATTAATATTACCATGTTAGAAAATATATTAAAATGGACTAGATAATGAAAAGAAATTTTGACAGTCAAAAAAAGAAACTAATTGGAAAAATGTGCAGATTTTTATAACTAGTGCAACTTTTACGACTTTAATCTGTAGTTTGAGGTACAAATGCCTAGTAAAATATATAGAAAACATAGTCTTATGATTGTTAGAGTTCTTTTGCCTTTTATAATTCTTCAAACTTCTGGAAATTTTTCAACTTATACGGTATTTAAGAATCTTGTGATATTTTCTTGTGGTATTTAAGAATATTGTGACTTCTGAGGCTTTTCTAATATATACGACATTTGCAACTCTTGCAACTTTGGCGGCATCTGTGACTTTTTAACTTTTAAGAGTACTATATATTCTTCGACACATAGAAATTTTTTGATACTTTGAGACATAAGCTACCTTTTTAAATTATTATTATTAAAATAGTTCTTGCGATCCTAACAGCTGTTGTCATTGTTTCATATACGTGATTGTTTTTTATATATGTGATTGTTTTTCTATACGACTAGCATATACTTGGATCATATATGCCTGAACTTGTGCTATTACTATTATTAATAATATTAGAATAAAATATATTGTAAATAATTGTTATTATAACAATTCTTAAAAATTAAGGCCACTAAATAGACATGAATCAGTGCTACATACAAAAGTTATATGAAATGCAATGATAAATTTTGAATATATTTTGTTTTCCTATCATTACTGCTATAAGTTACACTTATACGTCATCGCAAGGTATTCAAAAAAGTATCAAAATCAATTCATTTGCTGAAATATTTGCTCAATAAGCACAAGAAGTCAATTGTATTAAAAACATTTCTAGAAACATTAACCATGACTCCAAACGTATTGCCCACATAGTTGCATTCAATCTAAAAAATGTATGTTTCCAATTGAAGCTGGAGGCAATCTTTGGCACTGCCACTGTCAATACGAATTAATGAACGAAATTTTTAATTAAATCCGTTGTTAGATATGCAAAATAATTGCCTTAAGTAACTTTGAAATTCACATGATATGATTTATTGAGCAGTACAATGACATCAACAAGATACAAATTAATTAGCCACACACGCAGTAATACTTTAGAAGAATTCCAGTTCCAGTTCGCCGTATGCACCAGAATTTGCAAGTGTCAAACTCCATTTTTCTCAACGGCCTAGAAAAATGTTTTGAAATCAAAAAATCATAAGAAAATGCTAACTCGAAAGGACATAAATTATCCAAAGTGCATACGAAATGCAGTGCGGCAATTATTGAGCGATTAAACCAGCGAAACTTGATTTCTGATTTCTAATTACGAACTGTAACGGCATAAAAACGTAAAATCTGTGAACTGCCGTAAAAATTGTTATAAAAAGTTAAGATTAAATTTAAGAAACGAAAATAAAAAAACACAAAACTACAGAACTAACATACAGAAGCAGACTCAAATGCAAAAATAATTCTCATTTCCTATGAACGCTGCAATAAAAACACTTTTTTATGTGC